TCATTTAAATTCAAATTACTAACTAAATATTTTTCTTCTCATCTTCCAGCTTTCCACTTGGAAAGAAATTTTACAGCAGCATCTAATATGAAATTAATTCATCATCATCATCATCACAATTAACATGGCAGTATGACAGTGAGTGAATGCTGTTTTCCTTTCTAGTTGATAATACACATACATATATACATTCTTTTTCCAATACAGCTATTTTAGATCACAAACTGCTAATTAAAACATATATTGTATCGTTCTATTTGATTTTTAAAACCAATATTTATCCAGTGTGGAATCCTAAAATAAAGAAATAATTTATTTGCTTTATATATATAACATTAATAAAAATAACACTCACTGTCCATTAGATATTTCTAAATCAAGTCAAGAAACTTGTTTCAAAAACGATTTTATCGATGTTATCTTTCTATGATAGACAATATTCATGCAAGAAATAAGGAGAACAGGTGGTGATAACCCTACAAAATCTGTCAAACCTTTAATTTTTTATTAAATATTTGTTTTACTAAATTACTACCATCACCCTCGTCATATCATAACATCTAAAACAATCGTTCTCATCTGGAACTCTATATATTGTTCTTGCACTAATTATACAATTATAATACAAGGAAGAGTTTTGTATGTGTTTTGATTTTGTAAATGTAAAATTATAATACAAGGAAATTCTGAATAGATAAAAGTCAAGCCTATCTGGCTAAATCAAGAGGGAAAATATTTGAAGTTGTTTACTTTTTGCGGGATCAATATGTTTGTAGGGAATACATTCCATTCTCTATATAATAGATCTTTCTATAATGAATCTTGCTCTATAATGGACTGAGAATCTATATATCTTATATATAAATTATTATTGTCCATCACAGATTCTCTCTATAACAGACTTTTTCCTAATACTAAACCAGACGGTCCATTATAGAGAGAGTGAACTGTATATGCTGGTGAAATATTTTGCATGGAATGATAATAATCCAAGTCTTCTGTGTGGAAATTGTGATAATTGTTTACGAGTACAAGCTTAAAGCTAATTTGATGTTTTGCTGAAAATGGTAGAGATAATTGAGGAAATAGTGAATAAGTTGAATGAAAATATTAAAATAATTTTATTGTCAATTGGAAGAACTCCTCACCTTGTTGAGTATTTATAGTAATAAAACTTTTAAAAAAGAGAGGTTGATTAAAGCTAAAGAGGCTTTATATGCAAAATAATAAAAATAATGATAAATTTATATAGGCCAAATTTAAATGAAAATACACTACAGGCAAAACCTTCATATTACTGCAAGAAAATTGGGAACATTATTATATAAGCGTGGTATTTGATACATAGTAATAGTATTTCATGACGCAATCCAAAAAGGAAACAAAGTAGTCGCAAAGGCGGTTACAACCAGATGTCGCAAATCATTATCAAAAGTTGCAGCTGTATCCTTAGTATTCAATGCTTAAATCAACCAGTTGTAAAAATATAACCCACTTTTACAAACATGTAATATCATATTATTTATTATTAATAGTATTTTAAGCTTGAATTTTGGACTAGAGCTGAAGATGAATCAAATGATAAGGATACATTTATTTTGCAAGGTAGCCTTTCTGTTAACACCAATTATTTAACACATATGGCTGACCCTTGTCAATTAATACACAATAATTTGGCGCTTGTCAACTAATTAGGTTACAAATTCACTTTGGTTCTAGTTTTCCTCCACCTAGAAAGCTTTGGCAAATCTGTAACACGCTCAATGATATAGAATAGCTGTAAACAAACGAAGTACAAAGCTCGAAAGTTTTTATAAAGTTCCTTTTATTATTCACTTGTAGCTAATTCATTTCGGTCATTTTTACTTGTTTGGCTGATTGCAAACTCGCTTTAGTTTATTTACAAAACAACTTAAGCGGTCCATTTAACAGCCTTATATTTACTATAACAATTTTATTACAATACACCAACAGTACTTACAAACAACCTTTAGATAATACTTCGTTAAAGCGAATAATGTTTACTAATTGTTGTTAACACCCAACGTTAGTCCTAACCTTTGCTTGCTAAACAAATAAAACATAAGCTTTCATCAAAGCTTCACAATTGTTCCTTTTTATCAAGTACTTTGCTTTAAACAGAAAATAAAATAATGTTTATTTTTTTTAAAGTTTATTATGATTTTTAAGGATTTATTTTTATTCCTCCCCATTCAATCAAGCAAGAACTTGAATGAAGTTGTCTTCTACCCCTCACTTTTTCATAGCAAAGACCAGAAGTTCATTAAGTTGGTTGAATTTCCAATGAAAAATTTTTATTAGTTATTTGCATTTTTGTCTCCTCACAATATATAGTAATAATCAGTTAAACATGGTCTCATGTTATTGTAAATAAAATAATCAATGAAAATAATGGAAAACAATGAAAAATATATAAAGAAATATAATAATAATCCAACGTTGTATTTATTAATTTTATTTTTTATCAATTATTTGAAATACTTCCAATTCATCAAATCTACTACCATTTACTATATTAACATTATTATAAGAATATGGATAACTACTAACACTACCAATTATGTTAAACCAAATATCATGACCACCACCAAAAACTGGCAAATTATAATGACAACAATAAATTGCATTATTATTATTGATAACATAACTAAATTGTGTAGTATTGATACTATTTCTGTAATTTTCCATATACCATTTCCATTCCAATTAAGTGGATTATAACCACCAACTATTTGCTCTGAGTTTTGTATTCTGCCAACTACAAGAGTTTTGTTGATATTATCACATTGTTGATGAAAAGTAACAGCAGTTAAACCATCTCTGCTACTACGATATAGAAGTTTGAATTCATATTTGACTTCCCTGAGTGAAGTATATGATGAAATTTTTCTATCAATCCAACTTGCAAAAAGCAAAATAAGGTTTTGGTTGATTGTCAATGATTCTAATTTAGAATGTCTTGATGGTAATAACTTTAATGTTTGTTGCCTATCAGAAAATATATGAGATTGTAAAAGGGATTTCCATAAAGTCTTAGGTAAAAGTGTACTACATGGATCAATTTTATTAAAAAGATCCTCTTTAAAGATATCCTGAAATCTTATTAGAGAAATAAATTCTTTTAATGCATTGTCTAAATCAGCAAAATTTTGTGATGACCAATCTTCAACATTGATATTGTTGATTTCAGGATGTTTTGCTAATCCCCATTTAAGAATGCTTTCCCAAATAACTGTCTCACGAACAAAAAAATCATCTCTTTTGAGAATTTCCAATAGAATTGGTTTTTCCAATGATTCAAATTCATTTGATCCAAATAAATTTTCACTATATTCACAAAATTTTTCCAAGTAAATATTTTTCAATTCCTTAAAATTTTCATTAGCATAAATCAATTGTAGAATTTTAACTGGATTTTCTTTTATATAATCATCATAATTTTCAATAAAATATTTCATCATATATTCATAAAGCAACTCAATACCAAATTCATCTGCTGCAGTTAATAATTCCAATACTTCAGCACCAGAATAATTTTCAAATTCAATTTTACATGTATATAAAAATCTTACAAAAAAATAAATAAATTAAGAATATTGGAATTATTATATATTCAATAACAATAAATTGAATAATAAATTTATTTAAACTTACTTGAGAATAGAGCTGAAAAGCTTTTCACTGATATTAGTTTTCTTAATAATATAATATCCATTTTCTTTTGTTGCATTACTTAATTCATTGCTAAAAAATGGACAATGAGCTGAGATGATAGATGCATGCGCATGAACTTCTTTAATATTTGGTTCTACACCAACTTTTATTTTTACATCATAAAATTCTTCAGTGTTTAATAATCTCTCATTCTCATTAAAATACTTTTCAAATATTGGATTCATTTTTAAGATAAAAAAAATGTGAATGGTTATAAAAAAGGAATCTAAATAATACCCCGAAATTAGTAATTGTGAAATTCCTATTACTATTCTTAGAAATGTAATGATAAAATAGGCAGTTATGTAATTTTATTTTATTTATATAATAATAACGACGCTGACTTATTCCATTCCAAGATTATAGGCATGTTCTGTATACGTTTTCAATTGATTATAAACAGTTTTAAGCGTAAGATGTATTTTAATAATTTTATAAAAAATCTTTTTTTTTTTTTAAACAAATACATTTAAAAATTTTACTATGTTGCTAAGGGAAGAAAACTCGAACTCACAGTTGTTAGTAGGTTGAGAGAAGCTGGGGTTGAATACGAGCATACAGGGTGAGTGCTATTTTGTCGAGTTGTGTGTCTGAAGTTACGCTGCCACTAGGTGTAAAATGTCTGGGAATTGAAAGATCTTCAAACGCTTGATGCCTCTCTTTCTTCTTCTGAATCTAAAGAAAATGAATGGGCAATTCATTGTGGGTCTACGCTTAATATAGAAGTTGCATTAGGTGAACACTGGTCAAATATGGCCGAACATTTACCCCTTTTGCTGTATTTCAAATAGCATTTGGATATATGTGGTTACCAATTTCTTCCTGTAGTGCAGAACAGAGTTTTTCTAAATATAATTTTTAGATGATGATAATCGACGAAGTTTAAATATGCTTTATTTTAATGGTAGTATAGTTTAAATATTTAGCATTTCTATTTTGTAATATTTTTTAAATAAGAAATAATGGTATTAATAACTAATAACTACTCTTTCTGAATGCATAGATATTATGACAGAAATTACGCAGAATATAGTAGTAGTGTTTTTTTAATGCATGACATTCACGCAGAATTTGTTTTTAGCACGAACGGAATTATTAATAATAATAATAACGGATCTTGCTCTATAACAAACTGAGAATTTATATGTCCCATCACTGTCTATAATAGAGAGTGAACTATGTATTAATATTTAACACTACATTACCATTTATATGCTTGACTTGGTTGTAATTCTATTAAAAAAACAAGTAATTATGAATATTGTGAATATTTAATCATAATATTAATAAAAACATATATCGTTTGTGTTTTTACCCACTCATTCGCAGAAGTTATTATTTTTTAAAAATGTTTTCTTGGCAACCTACATCACAAATGTTGGTTTTTTGGTACTGAAATGAAGAGAAAAGCTTAAAATAAGTATAAAGTGGTAGAAAACGGGAATGATATTATAGAATATTTAGATGAAATTGAAATAAATAACGGATTAAATACAGACAAACGTAAAAATTTATATAATATTTTTATAGAATACTTAAACAATTTAAATAGAGAACATGCACAACAAGTTTTCAAATTTATATGTGGAAATATTCATATACCTCCAAAATTTCCAATATCTGTGAGTAAATGTTTTTAATATTTTATATTTAAAGAAATTTATTAAATGTTATTTTACATTTTATATACCAGATTTCGTGGAAATCACCTTCTAAATCATCACCATTACGTAGACTACCAAATTCATCAACGTGCATTAACCAGTTGGTATTGTCTGATACATATGATGATGATGAGATGTATATTTTCATCAATGATTTGAATGCTGCTTTTCTAAGTTAAATAAAATTTAATTAATTTTTTATTGAGTTCATCATACAAGGAAATTTTTTTTTCTATTGATTCATTTTAATGGTATTGTAATTACAATTTTTGTTCTTGAATAAGATAAGAGAATAAAAGTAATGACATTTTTGATGTATCACATGATTATATGTTTTTGCATGTAAGGATTACGAGTATAATTTAGATTTACTATTTATTGCAGTGTTGACAAATGACTTCAAATGACTTGTGAAATAACATAGACATATAATATTTTATTATTAATTTCATATACCAAATGACCTTGGTCATTTGAAAAACAGCAAATGACATTTTAATTGTCAACATATATGATGATAAATATGATTTCATATTAGTTACAGTTTACAATCAAAAATGTTGCATTATTTACGATAAAACGTTGCAACAAAACACTGCAACTTTTTGCGACAAAATGTTGCAACTTTTTACAACAAAATGTTGAAACTTTTTACAACGAAGTGTTGCAATTAATTACGACAAAATGTTGCAACTTTTTACAACGAAGTGTTGCAATTAATTACGACAAAACGTTGCAATTAATTATGACAAAACGTTGCAACTTTTTACAACAAAATGTTGCAATTATTTACAACGAAGTGTTGCAATTAATTACGACAAAACGTTGCAATTAATTACGACAAAACGTTGCAATTATTTACGACAAAACGTTGCAATTAATTATGACAGAATGTTGCAATAATTTTTTTACAACAACTTTTTGCAACAAAATGTGGTACACTTTTGTCCAGCATGGCGTGCCATAATAGTGTTTTTGAAGATTTAAATAAAGTTGTAATAAAATATGTGAATGATAGTGGCATGCAGGTAATTGTTTTATAATATTATATTATTTCATTTTCTATTACTTATATCATCATCTATAATAGAAAGGGTTGTCAGAAGAATTCAACTAATTAGAAGGCATATGAAAAAAGGTTGTGAAAATGAAATAAGGAATAATATTGATAATAGACAATTAAAGCATGATAAGTGCCTTGATCATTGTTTATTACATGCTTTTGGTGAATGTAATGATGAACATAATTTAAGATGTGTGAATTGTTTAAAATTTCATAATTTTTTCGAAAAATTGATTAGATTATTACCAGAAAATTAATTGGAGAATATCAAAATTTACAGATAAAAATTGTATTATTATTTGGCACATCAAACAAGAAAGGTGTATTTAAATGCTCAATTTAGATCTAATTTATTGGAATTGGATAAGAATGGTGCTATAATAATTGTAGATTATAAAATGAGTATATTACCAAAAACAGCTCGAGAGACCAAAACTGAATTCTTTGGAAAACGTGGATGGACATTACATTCAATTTTAATGTATACCAAATTTGAAAATCAAGAAGATTATAATATAACAAATATTGTGAGTTGTTTAAATCCATAAATTATTGTTATATAGAACTAAATTGCAAATATTTATTAATATAATTTAAATAGCATTTTTGATGAATTTTTGAAAGAAGGATGGGCATTAAAAGAAAATCAAAAATTTGGAAACAAGGGAGGCGGAACAAAATTTTCTAAAAAAATAATTACCATTTTACAAGGATTTTTTCATGCAGGTAATATTGACAAAAGTGATTGATATAATGCCCAAAGTATGTATTCTGAATTATTGAAAATGGCTGAAGAAAATGAAATAAGTCAAGAATCAATTCCAAAAGTAGAATCTATACAAAGTTGGATTACTTGTTATTCTGCAGCATGCAAAACTGAATCATCAAAAAATGCCCTTAACAATAATAACAATGAATAATTCATAATAGGTTTTTTTTGAATTTAAAATAATAAATTTATTGTTCATTATTACTTCATATTTTTCATAAAAATAGTTTGAGTATTATTACCATTAAAATTGGCTACATTGTGTTTGTAATTACATATTTTTTCAAAACAAATAATATAAAATTCATTATTTCCTTCGTTATTTTGTATATGTATTTTTACATGGAATCCACAGCTGCCCAAGAGTAAACTATTTATTTTAATATAAATAAAGAGAAAATTTTTTACGTTTTGAAAAATCAAGTTCCTATCCACAATCTGCATGATTTCTATCACTTGATGAGTTTTTTAATTTTATTAATGACGATCGCCCAGATTTTATTATATAGTAATAGTAATAGTGAGTTTCTATCGTTGATCGGCGGAACACAAATTAGCGATCAGAAAAATTTGGCAGTTGTCTCACGAATTACGAAATAATATATAATAGGCTATAACAGGTTTCCAAATTTGGAAAAAATCATGGTTATTTATTATATAAATAAATAAAATTTCTTTAATTGGATACAAAGCTTTTTCTTTTCTTTTATAATATACATCACTCAATCACTAAATCACTCGCTCACACAATCAATTAAGCCATTATTAATTAAAAATGACTGATTATCAAGTCAATGATGAAGATCCTGAAGAAGTAGGATTAATATCCAAAAATGCAAAACGTAATAAAAAGGTTTGCTATATTTTCTAGCTTTGATTATTCAAACATTCATGGATGAATTTTAAATGTTTTGATTTTTTAAAAAAGAATACGTTCCTAGTTTTTTCAACTATTCTTGTTATTTTATTCATTGTGATTGGATTTGGTGCTACTTTAAGCAGTTTCAGTAAGATTTGTGCATGAAACAACAACATATAATAAATATATTATTTCTCTTGCAAATCACTCATTCACACTAACATTTGTTCATTCAATTGCATAGCCGGTAATAATGTTAAAAATGAAAAACGTAATGTGATATTAATGATTTCAGATGGATTTGGGCCAGCATCAGAAACATTTGCAAGATCATATTATCAATACATTAATCATGTACCTTATAAACAAGTGACACCGTTAGATGAGATTCTTATTGGAACTTCAAGGACAAGATCTTTTGATAGTTTAGTTACTGATTCTGCTGCTGGGGCCACTGCCTTTTCATGTGCAATCAAGACATACAATAATGCCATAGCGGGTATTTTATGATAATAATGATGATAATGATAATGATTTGATGTTAATAATGAATTTTTAAAAATATATACATATTTCAAAATTTTATATATAGTTGATTCTGAGAAAAACCCATGTGGTACAGTGTTAGAATCAGCCAAACATAATGGAATGGTGACCGGATTAGTGGTGACAAGTCGTATAACACATGCAACACCAGCAGCGTTTTCAGCACATATAGTTCATAGAGATTTAGAATCAGAAATTGCCGTGCATCAAATTGGTGACTATCCACTTGGAAGACAGGTTGATTTAATGTTTGGTGGTGGGAAATGTTTCTTTTTACCAAATAGTAGCGCAAGTAGTTGTAGAACTGATGACAGGGATGTGCTAAGTGATGCTATAAATAAATTTGGATTTAACTATTTGTCAACTAGAAAAGAATTTGATGATCTCAAACTGTCAAAAAAAGCGTATGTATATTCTTATTGTTGTTATCATTATTGGTATTACTATTAAGGATGAAAGAAATAATAATATTCAATAATTTGAAATTAGACTTCCTCTTCTGGGCTTATTCAATTTGGATGTAAGTCTTAATAATAATAACAATAATAAAGCTGGTATTCATAAATGTACATATATATATATATATATTCATAAATACCCATGATTTTTTTTAGCATATTTCTTATGAGATTGATCGTGATCCATCTAAAGAACCATCTTTAAAAGAAATGACAGAAAAAGCAATCAAGATTCTTGAGGATGCTACTGCTGACAGTGACAAAGGGTTTTTCTTGATGGTTGAAGGAAGTAAAATTGGTAAGCAGTTATGATTTATAAATATAAATAATAACAATATTTGTGATGTATGATTTTACATGTGTTTTTTGTACTTATAAATAGTTTAATTATTATTTTTTTAGATTTGGCAGCTCATTCGTAAGTAACTATATGTAAATTTAAAGGATCATCATTTTCTTTTATTTAACCAATAATTACACAATTACAATAATTATTATAATGATCATTATTAGGAATGATCCTGCAACACATGCTCATGAAATTTTTGCATATCATGACACAATTTCACTTGTTAAGCAATATGTTAGCGACCATCCAGGGACTGTGATGATTTCAGTTAGTATTAACTAATTAATTAATTAATAAATAAATTTTAACTGTATATATATATATATATACACAAATAACACATAATTTTATTGTTTATTTAGGTTAGTGATCATGAAACTGGTGGATTATCACTTGCACTTCAAACTACTCACGAATATCCTGAATATGGATGGTATCCAGAAGTGTTAACTAAGGTTAAAAATTCATCGTTTGTCCTCTCAGAAGAAATTGAGAAATATTCGAAGGCTGATCGTAAAGACTATATTAAAAAGCTTCTTGAAAATAGCTTGGGTATTATAGATTATACACAGGAGGATATTGAATATTTGAACCAAAATCAACTCCAATTAGATTATGAATTATATTTGTCCAATATGACTAGTCACAGAGCTGAATTAGGGGTATTTAATCATAATTAATTAATTTGGAGGTCCTTTCAAAAATTTTCCCATTTAATATTTTTATTTAATAATAGTGGGCAACTCATGGACATTCTGGTGTTGATGTTAATTTGTATGCATATGGTGATAATATTGATTATTTATATGGAAATCATGAGGTAACATACAATTATTTATAATAAGATAGGATATATTTATATGGTATACTTACAATTGTAACTATATAAATTTGTATCAGAACACTGATATTGGTGAATTTATTATTAATTATCTTGGTTTGGATCTTAATGGTATAACTATGAAATTAAACAAGTTAGTATCTTTATTTTATTTATTTTTGTTATTATCAATCATTGTTATTATTTATTAATTGGTTTCTTTATTTCTAATGTTTGTAGGAATACAAGTAAGTATTTCACCATCTCAATTATTTTATCATTTAAATTCAAATTACTAACTAAATATTTTTCTTCTCATCTTCCAGCTTTCCACTTGGAAAGAAATTTTACAGCGGCATCTAATATGAAATTAATTCATCATCATCATCATCATCATCATCATCATCACAATTAACATGGCAGTATGACAGTGAGTGAATGCTG